TAATACTAAAAGTGAACAGTTATCACTGCCAGAGCAGCAGTGTTTCCTCTCTGCAGCCTGTTACCTGTTTGACAAACACCTGCACATGAATAAAAACCTGCATTCTGTATTTACACTGTGTCCTGGGTCCTGCTTGGAGGCACAGGATCCATTTCTACTAGCAGAATGCGTTTATATTATCTATTAATTTTTTTAGTCTGTCTTTATTGATATTCTGATTGTGAATTCATTATTTAATAACCCAGAATATGATTAGAGTGTCTGAGAGTGTTTGAACACTTGAAATTATTTCTTAGGCAAAATGTTTCAATGAAAATGGAAATTATGTAACTCATATCAAACCTGACGCTCAGGATTTTTCAGTCTCACATGTGATAAATGTGATAAACAATGTAAATGTAAATGTATTTAAAATGCTGCTGTCAGACAGACTCTCCCTTACTTTAATTTTATCCATAATAACAATTAATGGGGGAAACAACAGATCATGAAAAGAAAAATCTTTCTAATAAATGAAGAAAGTTGTTTATGGTTCTTTTTGTTGATCAGACAAACAATTGACAGATTTTTAACTAGATGATGAATCAGAAAACAAATAAAATGTAAATCTTGGGAGTGATACACTTGAGTTTAATCTGTAATCTGTCTCCACTTCAGTATAAAACTGCAGTGATGTTGTGAAGTAGCAGAGCAATCCATTCAGCTGCAGCGTCTAATCAATAACTGATATCCAGTAAGAGGGCTTGACAGCCAGTAAAAGACTTAATCCAAACAAGTGAAAAATAAAAAGTTGGAAATCATTTTTAAAATGACAAAAAGTTGGAAATCATTTTTTTTCCATATAAATACATAAAAACAAGACCTAACATAGCTTTACTTTTTTCTTGATGCAGATGGGGAACTTTTTAATGGACAGAGGAAGGCTGTGAGGACAAAGTCAGAGTGCAAAACCCTGTTTTGTGAATTCCGTAGCAGCCCTATTGGAGGCCTCAACGGGATTTTTAAAACAAGAAATGCTTTGTCCAGTCGATTCTACTGGCCAGGAATCTCTACTGACATTGAGAAATGGGTCAGTAACCAATGCCCTGCTGTCCTGATTAGCTGTTCATCTATTAGTTTTAATAATCAAATGTAACTGTTACTACTTCAATTAGTTTTCTAACTCTCACTCCATAACCATTTACATTTTTCCATTAAACTGTTCACTCTTCTTAATGGTTACCCTCAACAAACCCACTATTTTTTTTTCTTTATTTTTCTAGGTCAGTGAATGTGATCAGTGCCAAAGGGTTGGTAAACCACTTGTGATTGATGCTAAACTGGAAAGTATTAAGGTAAATGAGCTTTTTGGTTTACGTGAGTTACTGAAGAATTTAAAAAAGAAAAATCATTAATCAGGGTATATAAACATTTTACTCTCTGGCAAATTGAAAAACATATAACCCCAAGTCCTTCTAAATCACCACAAACAGGAGTTTATACTGTACTGTACATCCAATTCTGTTTTTGTTAGGTTTCATCAGTCTGTGAATTGCTTGGTATTGACCTCACAGGACCACTTCTGAAGACATCTGATGGCCATATTTACATTTTGACAGCCACAGGTTATTTCTCCACATGGGTGAAAGCATTCCCATTAAAAACTAAAACTGCTCAGGAAGTAGCTAGAAACCTTGTTTCTATCATTTACAGGCACAGTTGCCCAGTCAGAATTCTCTCTGACCAAGGAAGAGAGTTTGTTAATGAGTCTTTGACAACAAATATATACATTAATTCTTTTGGTATATGAGGCCAATATCCAACTTTTGCTCTCCAAACAAAAGCTCTGCCCCTCTCTTAATCAGGGCTGTGCAGTAATTTATGTTTAATCATTCATTTCTTCAGTCCTACTATGTATACTGTAAAATCAATTGTGATGAATGTTGTGATATGAATTAATTCTGTATTGCGCAGCCCTACTGGAAATGCTATTTCAACATTGTGTTGCAGTTCTTAATTCTGGACTATTGGCTGGCTGTTTAATAATATAACATATTTATTAATTCATTTTAGATTAACAGCTCTCT